ACATCCCCAGTAGGGGGTGTGCAGGAGCAGCTGATCGATGTTTCTATCTTATTGCTTTTTCTAGCTCTCTATCCCTCTCCCTTTCTCTTTGTAAAATAAAAAAATAAAGATAAATCAATAAAATATATTTTTTTAAAATGAGGTCTAGAACTATAAAAAAGCAGTTCACTCAGCAATTATTTATGCCACTTTTGTAACATGTATTCTATACAGCAGTGAACAGCAAGCTATTTGTTGCTGATTAATTCAAAACACATTCACTAATTGCTTCTTATGGGCAAGGTGCTAGGCCAGATGCTAATAAGATGACTCATACCTGATCATGCCCCTATAAAGACATGGGGGCATGTGGGCAAAGAAATATGGCTCTATGGAAAGTAACTTCACAGGGCGATCATAAATTCCTAACGAGGCAGGTCATGATGGGTAGTCACACCCCAGGCATATAACTTCCTTACTTGAAGCTTATCTCTGCCATAAGCAAGCCCTGTCTGTCCATCGTTTCTGTGTATCTAGGTTAACACTCTTGAAATGCCCCCTTTCATACCCTTCTAACACGTGACCACCCTTCTGGACCCCTCCTAAAGTGGAGAGCACATCATCTTAACTAGCATGTGATTCAATCCTCATCTTGCTTTCTCCCAGCTCTGTGTAATCTTCCCTCGGTCCCCTCCTGGATTTCAGATGCATAGAAGAAATTGCAAAAACGGTTATTCTCTGGAGCATTTGAGATCTTGCTCCTTGGCATAGGTTGCCAGTTTTGGCTCAGATAAACTCATAAAAATTCTCTGCAGGCTTGGACATTTCTTACATCGACAGGCCTATTGCATCATTGATGAAGTGTACAAGCCACAATGTAGATATTAGCCTCAGAAGAGAGGCGCGGATAAAGTGCTAAGAAAAAAATCATGGGAATGTTGGGAAGGCTTCCGAAGGAGATGGCAGCTAAGCTGGATCTTGAAGGATGCTTTGGGAAAGCGGGGAGAGGGAGCGCCCCAAGAACAGAGCTCCCTGTGCGTGAGCAAAGGGTGATGGCGGGAGAAGGTGCAGTGTGCGGGACCAGTGAGTAACTTAGTTTGGCTGGGGAACTTGGGAGAAGCGAGAGAAGTCTGGGAAAGGAGTTGGGTCAGCTCCCAGAGGGCTCAGTCCAGGCCAAGCTGCTCAAGCCACATGGCCAGAAGGGTGTGCTGTTGGTGAGGGCTAGTGGGGCGGGAACGGCAGGTTGCATCCTAGAACCTGGGAGGGCATAAAAAGGACCTGGGCCTCTGGAGAGACAGGAGCAGGTGGACAGTCCACCGGGCCTGGCAGCTGTTAGTTTGGGTTGGAATCACCGTTCTCAAGTGGCTCTTCAGTTTCTGCTTAAACTCCTCCAGGGACGGGAGGGTCACCGCTGACAAGGAGTTCGGGCTTTCCTGCTGGGAGTAGTTCCTCAAGGGGCTCCTGGAGCCCTTGGTGAGGGGGGAGACAGAAGAGGAGAAACACGTTGGAAATATATAAAGTGTGCTCTCTGCAGGGGCCTGTCCTCTGGTTCTGGCCGTCAGCGTGCCTGAGGGTGAGCCCGGCAGGGGGTCCAAGTGAGGAAGGCTGCTTTGGGCGGTGCCCTTGGCCAACAGGCGGCAGGGTGGAGCTGCTGGTGTGCCTCTGGGAGAGGAGTTAGGTCAGCCCCGGTGCTGGGCCTGGAACACCTACCTAAGGGAGCTTGGGCCACGGAGACCAGCTGGTGCTGGTGGTGTGGGACCCTGCGTCACCTGGGGTCCTGCTCCCCTAGCAATCTACTCTTCTAGTTCAGGGGAAGGGCACTTTGGCTGATCTGGGGTGTCAGCATGGGCCCCCAGCATTGGCCCTCAGACCCCACCAATGCTGCTCAAAGATGGGGCAAGATGTCCTGCAGGAAGACTGACGAGGTATCTTTGAGGCTCTTTAGACAGAGCCACTCCAGTAACTCTAACAGGTTGCAGTGCTGGAGATGCCAACATCGGAGGGTCTGGCACCTGATTTGAGAGCTTACACTAACATGCTTATTTATGAACAAATTCATAAAGATTCAAAGATAATTACTGTGTTTTTTTTTAACTCATAAAGCCCTATGCTAACTAAAGCGTTATTATTTATGCAACTCACCTTTGAGCTCTAACCGCCTCTAACTCAGGATCAGGGGTTACGGGTTACAAACTCATTGGAGCAATGCTGGAATGAAGAATTATTAAACTCCTCTTTGTCTCAGTTCCCTCTTATAAAATGGATGACAAGTCCCTTGCCCAAGATCAAATGGCCAATGCAAGGCCTCCGTGGCTGGATGCTGGATTTTAGAAACAAGGGTGTTATTTCCTCTCAATTTCTCAAAGTAGCCTGGGGCGTGACACTCAACCCCACTGAAGGGCTGTGCTCTGACCTTTGAAAGCAAGATGAAGAGTGAATGGGTGGGAGCTGTTAAGGAAAGCCAGTCAGCCAGCGCGCGCGTGCATGTGTGTATGTGTGTGTGTGTGTGTGTGTGTGTGTGTGTGTGTGAGTATGATGGGCCTGAAATGCATGGCGGGAGTGGCGCTGAGAAAGGTGAACTGGAATAGTTCAGTTACCTACGCACGTGATGAGACTCAGGTCCCTCATCCTGGGGGAAGAGCCCAGGTCTGTCAGTGCCTCTGCCCGGTTTCCTCCATCCTGCCCTCCCCCCGAGGGTGCTGTGTGGACTTGACTAGCCTCACTGCCCGGTGATCCTTATCTGGAAGAGAAGGAGGATGGACCCAGTAGGCTCCAAGGCCCTGCTGGGCATGCCACACTGAGTCTGAAAGCAGGTGAAGCGCCGGCCAGTGCTGGCTGAATGTCCACCCAAGAACCAAGAGGTTCAGTTCACGGTTGGGGCACCTGCCAGGATTGCTGGCTCCATCTCCAGGGAGGTGCATGCAGGAGGCAGCCGACTGATGTTTCTCTGTCATCAATGTTTCTGTCTCTCTGTACCTCTCTCTTTCTCTCTCTCACAAAATAAATAAAATAAAATAAAATAAAATAAAATAAAATAAAAAAAGCAGGTGAAGCTATTCAAATCTCCAACACCTTCACAAGAGAGACCCTGGGGCAGGCAGGGTGAGTGCTGAAAGTCCTGGCTTGAGTCACTTTTTCCTACATGCAGACTCCTTTCCGGCCTCCTCCTGCCTGAAGATTGGAAATCAGGTGTAAATGTCAGTCACCTGGGCTGGGCCCAATCTGCTCATTCTTCATTCGGCAACATTCTCTAGAGCAGTGGTTCTCAACCTTTCTAATGCCGCGACCCTTTAATTCAGTTCCTCATGTTGTGGTGACCCCCAACCATAAAATTATTTTCGTTGCTCCTTCATAACTATAATTTTGCTACTGCTAATGAATCATAATGTAAATATCTGTGTTTTTTCCCATAGGTTGAGAACTGCTAGCAGGGTCACCTAAGACCATCAGAAAACACAGATATTTACATTATGATTCATTAGCAGTAGCAAAATTACAGTTATGAAATAGCAACAAAAATAATTTTATGGTTGGGGGTCACCACAATGTGAGGAACCGTATTTAAGGGTCGCGGCATTAGGATGGTTGAGAACCACGCTCTAAACCACATGTGTCAAACACAAGGCCCGCGGGCCAAATCCGTCCCGCCAGGCCTTGCAATGTGGCCCGCACCGCGCTGTCATCACTGCACTCCGCTGCGTTTCCATCACAATGACAGTTTATGACTGTTCAGTAAACCATTCGGCCCGCGATTTAGGCTGGATTTTAGATTTTGGCCCCTTCTCTGATTGAGTTCGACACCCCTACTCTAAACCCTTACAATGGCCCTGGCTCCTCTCTTCTCTCCCATCCACCCACCCACTCATTCATCCAATCAATAAATATTTATGGAATATTTGTCCGGTGCTGTTTTAGGCCTTGGGATACAACAGCAAAGAAAAACAGATATGGTCTCTGCTCTCTCGGAGACTGTGGGACAAAGGAGATGTGCCTGGTGCTACATGAGCGAACATGACTGGGTGAGGGAATCTCACCATGGGGGCCAGAGAAGGCTGCCCCGAGGAAGTGACTCTGGGATTGTTATTTGAAGTGAGGGGAGGAGAAGTGGAGGGTGTGTGTGTGTGTGGGGGGGGGGTGTATTCCAGGCACAGCAGATAGCCTGTACATAGGCTTCTGGCAGCAGGGGCAAAGCTGAGTGTTGGGGGAGGAGAGTGGGCTGAGGAGGAGGAAGGGAGGCAGGGGCCAAGCCACAGGACTTTGTAGGCCTTTTAATGTAACTGTCTTTTCTTTAGAGCAACAGGGATAAAGGTGTTTTGTTTTGTTTTGTTTTGTTTTGTTTTATTAGCATTTATTTGATGCTGAATTTACGGGGTGGACCTGCCCACCCAAGGGGAGGAGATGCTACCTGGGAAGAGGCAGACCCCAGGGAAGAGGGACTTCCATCCTGAGGGAGCCCCAGCAGAGGGCAGCAGGAAGCCAGCTCAGGCTCCTCTGTGTCCCTCTGCTGAGAACACCCAGAATATCTGTCCCTGAGGGTCTGGAGGCTCTGAGGATAATTTAGGTCAGGTTCTGGAGGGAAACGGGAAAAGTACTTTAAGTTTGTGTGGGAGGATGCCTGTATAAAGCTGGCGAGGCAGGAATTAAGAAATTAAAATTGCCAGAGGTGCCAATGGGACTAGGAGCTCTGGGCAGGCAGGGAGGGACTGTGTCTGTTTTATGCAAGCAGTTAAACTATTAGAGCAGTGCCTAGCATACAGTGTGCATGCAATTAACATGTATCAAACGCACAAATGTTGTTTTCAAGTTAATTTTTTAATTTTAAGGTTAAAAATATGAAACAAAACAAAAATCTAAAAATAAGTCTTATTCTCATAATAGACCCTCAAGCTCCTTCTCAGAGGCTAACAAGGTTTTTTGCATATCTTGTTAGAAATTTCATATGTATAATCCCTTGAGGGTCACCTGCTGCTCCCTGCTGCATCCAGGATACTGGCCTGTAGTTTTCTTTTCTTTCCCTTTTTTTGTGTGTGGAATGCTTCACGAATGTGTGTCACGCTTGTGCAGGGGCCTTGCTAATCTCTTTATTGTTCCAATTTTAGTAAATGTGCTGCTGAAGAGAGCACTTGTGTTCTTTTCATGTAGTGTCCTTATCTGGCTTTGGTATCAGGGTAGGACTGGCCTAATTAATTAAGTTCGGGAGTGTTCCCTTTCTGTTAAGTTTTTGGAAGAGTTGAAAAGGATTGGCATTAATTCTTCTAAGTGTTTGGTGGAGTTCACCAGGGAAACTATCTGGATCCTGGGCTTTTCTTTGTTGGGAAATTCTTGATTACTGATTCAATCTCCTTACTCATTATTGGTCTGTTCACATTTTGTATTGCTTTCTTTTTTAAAATATATTTCTTTGTTGATTTCAGAGAGGAAGGGAGGAGAGAAAGATAGAAACATCAGTGATGAGAGGGAATCAGAATCATTGATCGGCTGCCTTCTGCACATCCCCTACTGGGGATAGAGCTCGCAACCCAGGCATATGCCCTGGGCCAGAATCAAACCTGGAACCCTTCAGTCTGTGGGCTGACACTCTACCTACTGAGCCAAGTCAGCTAGGGCCAAATTTCCTTTTATATATATTTTTATTGATTTCAGAGAGGAAGGGAGAGGGAGAGAGATAGAAACATCGATGATGAGAGAATCACTGACTGTATGCCTTCTGCATGCCCCCCATTGGGGACCGAGCCCACAACCTAACCCGGAATTGAACCTGGAACCCTTCGGTCCTCAGGCCGATGCTCTATCCACTGAGCCAAACCGGGTAGGCTAGGGCCGGATTTTCTATTTCTTCATGATTAAGTCTTAGGAGGTTGTATGCTTCTAGGAATTTATTAATTTCTCCTAGATTACCTATTTTTTAGCATGTGATTGTTCACAGTAGTTTCTCTTTTCATTTTAAAAATATATTTTTATTAATTTTCTTACAGAGAGGAAGGGAGAAGAGGGATAGAGAGTTAGAAACACCAACGAGAGAGACACACTGATCAGCTGCCTCCCGCACACCTCCCACTGGGCATGTGCCCGCAACCAAGGTACATGCCTTTGACCGGAATCGAACATAGAACCTTTTAGTCCGCAGGCCGACGCTTTATCCACTGAGCCAAACAGGTTAGGATAGGGGTGTCGAACTCAATCAGAGAAGGGGCCAAAATCTAAAATCCAGCCTAAATCGAGGGCCGAATGGTTTACTGAACAGTCATAAACTGTCATTGTGATGGAAACGCAGCGGAGTGCAGTGATGACAGCGCGGTGCAGGCCACATTGCAAGGCCTGGCGGGACGGATTTGGCCCGCGGGCCTTGTGTTTGACACATGTGGGTTAGGACATCACCGTAGTTTCTTATGATTTTTTGTATTTCTGTGCTATAGTTGTCCTATCTCCTCTTTCATTCCTGAATTTACTTATTTGAGGTATTTCTCTTATTTTCTTAGTCTAGCTAAGGGTTCGTGAGTTTTGGTTATCTTCACAATACCAGATCTTAGTTTCATTGATCGTTTCTTTTGGTTTTTTGTTCTCTATTTCATTTATTTCTGCAATGATCTTTGTTATTTCCTTCCTCCTGCTAACGTTGGGCTTTCTTTTTCTTTTTTACTAGTTCCTTCAGGTGTAAGGTGCAGTTATTTGAGCTCTTTTTTTTTTTTTTTTAATGTAGGTGTGTTATCTCTATAAACTTCCCTCTGACAATTGCTTTTGCTGCACCCTACAGGTTTTGGTATATTGGGTTTTTGTTTTCAATATATTTTTAAATTTCCCTGTTGACTTAGTCTTTGACCCATTAGTTGTTCAGAAGCATGTTATTTAACTTCCACATACTTGCGAATTTTTTCAGCTTTCCTCCTGCTTTTGATTTTTTGTCTCAAACCATTGTGGTTGGAAGAGATACGTAGTACGATTTCAATCTTCATAAATTTGGTAAGATTTGTTTTGTCACATGCCACAATCATCTATCCTGGAGAATGTTCCATGTGAATTTGAGAAAAATGTGTATTGAGTTGCTATTGAATTTCTATAAATGTCTGATAGGTTCATTTGGTCTAATGTGACATTCAAGTGTATTATTTCCTTATTTATTTTCTGCCTGGAGAATCTACCTTTTGTTGAAAGTGAAGTATTGAAGTCCCTTAATATGATGTAGTCTGTCTCCCTTCAGATTTGTTCATATTTGCTTAATATGGTTAGATGTTCTGATGTCTGGTGCATGTATATTTATGATTGTTTTATCCTCTTGATGAATGGGCCTTTTATCATTACACAATGACCGTCTTTGCCTCTTGTCAGCATTCTGGGATTAAAGTCTGTTTGTCTGATATAAGTATAGCTATCCCTGTGTATCTTTCTCCATTCCTTCACTTTGAGCCTATGTGTGTCCTTACAACTGAAATGAGAATCTTATAGGAGGCATATAGTTGGATCTTACTTTTTTATTTATCAAGCTACTCTATGGCTTTTGATTTGAGAATTTAGCCATTTGCATTTAGAGTAACTATTGATAGTTAAGTACTCACTAATGCATCTTATTGTTTTCTGGCAATTTTAGAGTTCATTTGTTCCTTTCTTTCTCTCTTGCTGCCTTTCTTTGTGAATCAATGATTTTCCATAGTGGTATGCTTTGATTCCCTTCTCTTTATCTTTTGTGAATCTACTATAAGTTTTTGCTTTGTGGTTACCATGAGGCTTACACATAATATCTTTCAGATATAATAGCATACTCTATGCTGATAATAATTTAACTTTGGTCACATATAAAAACTATACCTTTTTATCTCCTCTTTTGTTTTTGATGTTACAACTGACCTCTTTTTATACTGTGTATTAATAAATTATTATAGTTAGTTATTTTTAATACTCTTGTCCTTTATCCTTTATACTAAAGTGATTTACACACCATCATATTACATTATTAGAGTATGCTGAATTTGTATATATACTTACCTTTACCAGCATATTGTATGCATTCATGTTACCAATTAGCACCTTTCCATTTCAGCTTGAAGAATTGTCAGCATTTCTTGTAAAGCAGGTCTAGTGGTGATGAAACCCCTTAGTTTTTGTTATTCTGGGGAATTCCTTATCTTACCTTCATTTCTAAAAGATAATTTTGCCAGAAAGAGCATCCTTGGTTGGCTTTTTTTTTTTTTCTTTGACTATTTTTAATATATCATCCCATTCTCTCCTAGCCTGTAAGGGTTTTTGCTGAGAAATCTGCTGACAGCCTTCCAAGTTCCTAATAAGTTACAGGCTTCATTTCTCTCCCTGCTTTTAAGATTCCCTCTTTGTCTTTGATTTTTGGCAGTCTTATAATAATTTTTAAAGTTATTTTTTCTTTTGTTTTTTGCAGGAGAGAGACAACTACATAACCAGACACCTGGAGAAGAGAGATCATGGGGAGACAAAGAAACAGTCGGCATATGAAAGAAAAGGAGGCATCACCAGAAAAGGAAATAAACTAAATGGAGGCAAGCAACCTGTCAGAGAAAGAATTCGGAGAAATGATCATTAGGTGGCTGAAATAATAGAAGACAAATTTAACAATATGTGTAAGAACCAAGAGGAAATGAAGAAGGGCAGTCTTATTATTTTTGACAGTCCTGGAGAGGACCTCTTTGAGCTTATTTGGTGACTTATGAGTTTCATGTACTTGGATATCTAAATCTTTCCCCAGATTTGGGAAGTTCTCAGCCATCATTTTCTTTAAGTAAACTTTCTGCCCCCTTTTCCCCCTGGAACTCTAATAATTCACCAGTTATTTCTTTTGATGGTACCCTATAGTTCATGTAGACTCTCTTCACTCTTTTTCACTCTTTGTTCTCCTCTGACTAGGTAATTTCAAAGTTCTTATCTTCTAACTCACAGATTTTTTTTTCTTTTGCTTGATTTTGATGTTTTGATATTTTTCATTTAATCATTGTATTTTTCAGCTTCAGAATTTGTTTGGCTCTTTTTTATGATTGCTATCTCTTTCTTTTCTTTTCTTTTTTTTTTTTTTTTTAAGATTTTTATTGATTTCAGAGAAGGGAGAGAAACATCAATGAGGGAGAATCATTGATTGGCTGCCTCCTACATGCCCCCTACTGGGGATCAAGCTCACAACCCGGGCATGTGCCCTGACTGGGAATCAAACTGTGATCTGGTTTATGGGTCGATGCTCAACCACTGAGCCAACTGGCTAGGCTGTTATCTCTTTCTTTAAGTTCTCATTTTGTTCATGTATTATTTTCCTGATTTCAGTGAATTGTCTTTCTGTATTTTCTTGTAGCTCATTGAGTTTATCTAAAATAGCTATTTGAATTATTTATCAGGTAAATTGCAGGTCTCTGTGCCTTTTTGATGGCTTACTAGAAGATTATTGTGATCCGTTGGTGGTGTTATGTTTTGTTGATTTTTCATGTTCCTTTGTGTTGCTGTATTCACATTTGAAAGAGCAGTCACCTCCTCTAGTCTTTACTAACTACCCTTTTCAATGCACCCAAACTTGTATTTTTTGCTCTAGTGGTATGCTGGCTCTTCTCCACTGGAAACTTGGACTTCCACAAAGACTCCCTCACGTCTGGGTGATTATCTAGGACAGTGGTCGGCAAACTGCGGCTTGCAAGCTACAATGTGGCTCTTTGGCTTCTTGAGTGTGTCTCTTCCACAAAATACCACAGCCTGGGCGAGTCTATTTTGAAGAAGTGGCGTTAGAAGAAGTTTAAAAAGTTTGGCTCTCAAAAGAAATTTCAATCGTTGTACTGTTGGTATTTGGCTCTGTAGACTAATGAGTTTGCCGACCACCGGCCTCAGACAGTGATTCCCAGGGGCTCCTCAACTGCAGCTGAGAGGGACTAACCTCAGTTCATGGGCCACTGCAGTGGCCACAGCCAAGACCAAGATCTGTGTGCCTACTACCTGATGCATGTGTGGATATAACACCTCTGGGTTTCTTGGCATATGGTACTGTCCCCACAACTCCCACACAATACTTTTGTCCAAGGATGGATGCCAAGTTTTATTGTTGAGGAAGAGACACAAACAAAGGAAATCTTTTTTTTTTATTTAAGAAAATACATTTTATTGATTTTTTTACAGAGAAGAAACATCATGAGAGAGGAACATTGATCAGCTGCCTCCTGCACACCTCCCACTAGGGATGTGCCCGCAACCAAGGTACATGCCCTTGACTGGAATCGAACCTGGGACCTTTCAGTCCACAGGCTGACACTCTATCCACTGAGCCAAACCGGTTTCAGCTCATTTGTTTTAAAGCCACTTGTATTGCTTTTTTTGTGAATTGTGTGTTCCTGACCTTTGCCCGTTTAATGTATTATTTCAAAGCAATGTTTAACAATAAAAAACATTATTTTTCCAGTGTCATTTGCTCAAGAATCTCCTCAAAGGCAGCAGACCCTCTCAGAACCTGTCTGTTCCCAAGGGCGTGCGTGGGTCTGGCCTCCTTAACATCCCATAACCCTCCCACAACCCCGTGTTTGCTCTCCCCTCCCTCCCCTTCTCAGTCAAATGTGACAGTCCTTCAGGTGAGCGGAATTCCACCTGTTTGGGATGGCTTTCTGAGTAACTAATGCCCACACACTGCCTGGTCTCACTTCTATATGGGTCTCATCTCATCAGCCATAGACTCTGCCCCCCAAAGCCTGGGCCTGGGATCTCCGGTCCAGCTTCGCCTCTACCCCTGCTCACTGCGCAGGCGTGTCAGTGTGGAGTGTTCCAGGCACTCACTCACTCAGCTTTTGACTACATGCATGGATCAGGCCCTGTCCCAGGCACCATGGGTATGGCACTGTATGACAGACCCAGGCCCCTCCTCTCCTCCAGCTGGCATTCTAGTGAGGGCAGGGGGCTAACAACAACAAAGGCAATGCAGAAACACACACAAATAAGAACGCCCATTAGGTGTACACAGTAATGGAACTGACAGCGAAGCGAGGAGGGGAAGAGTCTCCTTTGGACAGAGGGCTCAGGAGAGGGATCCCCAGGAGCTGAGAGGAGAGCACGGACCTGACCATGAGAAGGCTCCAGCCATGGAAAGAACCTTCCAGAGCCCCCACTAGAGGTCCTGTCTGGAGGCTCTGCTTCAGACGGAGGAGATACAGCCCCAGCCCTCAGTCACTGGATGGAAATTGCAGGCAGAGCCTGTGATCCCTGCAACTTCAGGGCTGTGCATGTGGCGTGCGGGGAGAGGACCTGCACCGCCTTTTCATACTCCAGCTGCAAACTTGGGCAAATGAGATCATGCTTGACCTGGCATCAACAGAGGACCTACTACTCCTTGCCAGGGTCCAGTTAGACACTTTATACCACCGTTTCTTCATTGAATCTACACCACAAGCCCTTGCAGTATTTATCATTAACTTTATTTTACAGAGGAAGAAACCGATGCCCGGAATGTGGAAGGAACCTGTTTAAGGTTTACAGGGCCCAGAAAGAAGTCCAGTTCCCAGGGAGAAAAGTTCTGTCGCAGGGTGGGGTTTGCAGGAACCGTCGGGGTGCACCCCGTTTCCGGAGTTTGCTCCTGGGGCCCCCGCCCCGCCCGAGTCCTCCGGGGCCAAGGGGCGCCCGGCGGGCGGGGGGCGGGGAGGCCCCGGGGACAAAGGCCGCGGCCACCGCGTCGGGCGGGCCGGGCTGGCGGCGAAGCGCTGCGGCCGCCGGGACCTGCGGACGCCGGGGGAGCCGCGCGGCCATGGAGCAACCCGGGGGGCCGCCCGCGCCCGCGCCCGCGCAGGCCGAGCCCGCCGGCCCGCCGCCCGCGCCCCCGCCCCCGCCGCCGCCGCCGCCGCCGCCGCCACCGCCTCCCGCCCGCCCCGCGGCGGCTCCGAGCGCGGCGAACATGGCGGCGGCGGCGGCGGTCGGGCGGGACACCCTACCTGAGCACTGGTCCTACGGCGTGTGCCGGGACGGCCGCGTCTTCTTCATCAAGTGCGGCTCTGGGGCGCGGGGCGTAAGGGGGGGCGCGGGGCGCGGGGCTTTGGGGCGCGCGGGGCTTTGGGGCGCTAACAGGTGCACCTCTCCCCGCAGTGACCAGCTCCGCCGCACGACCTGGCTGCACCCGCGCACCGGGGAGCCCGTCAACTCCGGCCACATGATCCGCTCAGGTGGGCGCGGGAGGGGGCTGCGGGATGGGGCGCCCGGGGCGGGGAAGGGGGCGCGCGCCTGGGCCGCCAAGTTTGTCCTGAACTCTTCTTCCCGGTCCCCGCAGACCTGCCCCGCGGCTGGGAGGAGGGCTTCACGGAGGAGGGCGCCAGCTACTTCATCGAGTGAGTGACCGCGCCTCCCCGCGCTCGCATCGGGGCCGGGGGTCCCGGGGGTCCCGGGCCATCTCGCCGCGCGGGTCCCGGGCGGGTTGGCGCGCAGAGCGGCGGGCGAAGACGCGGGCGGTTTTGTTTGCCGGGCGGTGCGGCGGCTGCTGGAGGGAGGAGGGGTGCGGCGCACACCCCCGCGGGGGCTCCCGGGCGGGGGTCCCGGGTCCGGGGGTCCCGGGTCCGGGGTCCTGGCATTTGGGGTGGCCTCGGGCACTGGTGTGAGGTACGCCTCCCTGTTGGGGTCTCCCATTGCTCTGCGCTGGGACCGCGGTGAGCTGGGGTGGGGAGAGTGGACTAAGAGTTCCGAACGTCCGGGCTCCGGGAACCGGGGGCAGAGTGGGTGGTGCGGAGGGAGGGAAAGAGATGAAGGAAGGGCCTCTCCTTGGGGAGCGTGGCTTTCTCTGCAGCCCCGGACTCCGCGATGGTCGTGGGAAGTTGCAACCGCATCCCACCCCGACCCTCCCGCGCCGACCCGCGGGGCGGAGAGGGGGGCGGGGAGGGGCCCGATCAGCCAATGATGTCACTAGAGCGCTGCGCGGCTCTGCAGCCGCAGCTCAGAGAGGACGGCCACACCGCCTCCGGGGAGTCCAGCAGGAGCTTTTCCTCAAAAGCCCAGAGCCTTGCCCCACAGGCCAGGTTATCCCCGACCTGGGTCTGTGGGAATGAAACTGAGGCGCCGTCCAGATGCTAACACCGGGAGAGAGTTTTTACTTTCCCGCCCCGGGCTGTTCCCTGGCTGTTTCTGCCTCTGCCTGCAGCCACCCAGCTCCATGAGGTCAGAAACCGCTTTTGATCCTTTGCCCCAGTGCCTGGTACAGAGGAGGCGCACACTCGGCAAATGTTTGCTCACTGAATGAATGAGCTAGCTGCAGGTCCGTCTGGGTACACTTAATATTAGGTCTGGCTAATGTTAAGTGTAGTTTTGGGGACTGTGAGTCGGAAATCCTTTTTTCCCCCACCAACTTGAAAACTGCTAGTCGGCGGTGGGCCAGCATTTTGGAAGCTCAGATGGTCCCATCAAGTTCTGGAGCCCCTCTCCCTCCTGGGCTTGCGTGGGCTCTTGCAGGAAGGTTGAAATCCTGATGAATGAGATGAAGAGAAGTGAGCACTAAGGCTGTGGGTGTGGTTGGTGGTTTTGTGTGTGTGTGTGTGTGTGTGTGTGTGTGTGTAAAAGAGAGAGAGGGAGAGAGATAGAGAGATAGAGAGAGAGAGAGAGTGAGTGTTTTGGGAAGTTGGTTGGACCTTTTATTAGTGGCTCTCTTTGGCTCATAACTGCATCCGTTGGGATTTATTAGCTATCTCCTGTATACCACATATTTTTCTAGGCACTGGGACCACAGAATTGAATGAGGCAGCCTTGGCCGGTGTGGCTTAGTTAATTGGAGTGTTGTCTGTGTACCCAATAGGTCTCGGGTTCGATTCCCCATTAGGGCACATGCCCGGGTTGTGAGTTTGATCACTGCTCAGGGTCCACGCTCAGGGTCTATGCAGAAGGCAACCCATTGATATTTCTTTTTCTCTCACATCCATGCTTCTCTTTCCCTCTCTCCCTTCCTCACTCTCTAAAATTAATTTAGAAAAACTAAACACACATTCTAAGGTGAGAGTTTAAAAACATTTATTTAAAAAAAGAGAGAGAAGTGAATGAGGCAGATATGGGGTTTGCAGTGTAATAGGGAGGGGAGGGAGCAGAAAATCCTCCCATATAATAATAGGCTAATATGCAAATCAACCAAACATCGTATGACTAGTTGCTATGATAGGCACTGACCACCAGGGGGCAGACACTCTATGCAGGAGCTGCCCCCTGGTGGTCAGTGCGCTCCCACAGGGGGAGTGCTGCTCAGCCAGAAGCTCTGAGCCCAGATCTCAGCTGGCGGCAGCAGTGGTGGAGGGAGCCTCTCTTGCCGCCAGGGCAGTCGGACATCTCCCAAGGACTTCGAGAGGGTGCAGGCTGGGCTGAGGCATTCCCCTTCCCCCCCAAGTACACAAATTTCTTATAAGTAAATAAACAAAGAATAATATTAGATAGTGAGCAGTAACTACTATGCAGAAAGTTAAAATAAGGTGATATAAAGTGCCTGAGTGGTTTGGCTGGATGGGAGGTTAGACGTGGTGTTCCTTTTCTTTTTTTTTCTTTTTCTTTTTTTTTAATATATTTTATTGATTTTTTACAGAGAGGAGGAGTGAGAGATAGAGAGCTAGAAATGTCGATGAGAGAGAAACATCGACCAGCTGCCTCCTGCACACCCCCTACCGGGGATGTGCCCGCAACCAATGTACATGCCCTTGACTGGAATCGAACCTGGGATTTTTCTGTCCGCATGCTCTACCACTGAGCCAAACCGGTTTCGGCTAAATAGATGGCTTTTAAGGTAAAGTCAGAATAACAAAAAAGATCCATTGTTATGTTGAGGAGGTGGCAAAGCATTTCTGGAAGAGGGAGCAGCCAGTGCAAGGGTTTAAGGCGACAAATAGCTTCAAATTCAAGGAGCCAAAAGGCCAGTGTGGCTGGAATGTGGTGAACAAGGGTGACGGTGGCAGGAGAAGCCCTTACAGATAGGACGGAGCTAAATGGTGCAAGGCCCAACCACTGAGCCACACCGCCTGGGCCCACCTCTCCTATTTATTGTTCCTGTCTCTTCCATGAAGTTCTAGGCAAAACTTTGAGCTGAGGGATCTGAGGGGTATGTAGGATCCTCGGTCAGTTTCACAGCCTCTGGCCCTTCATCCCTTTTGTTGTCTCTTCTGTGGCTACTCTGTGAAGTCCCTCATGGTTATCCTTCAGCAAGCCCTGGTCTCTACCTACAGGTCCTTGGCCCGGTCCTTCCAGGCACAGGGGAACGCAGTGTGACAGTGCCCCTGGGACCTGTGGCTGCTGACTGCATTTTCCACCTCATTCTGTGGCAAGTTCTTGAAGACTTAAAGATTTGTGGAGTAATTATCCCCTTTCCCCCTCCCTCCCCCACAAGTATTTTGCTCCAAGGGTGCTTTCTTGGGTCTACCATGAGCATTTCTGAAATTTTTACTTTTTTGGTGTGGGGAGTTCTCTAATATGGCCCAGGTAGAGAGACACAGCGTCGGCACCCTGGATTTTATTTTCGCCAGTGGATCCTTGCCTGGAAGTTGTGTGCGGGGCTCAGGGGGCATCAGTAGCTCCTGATAGTTAGCAGATATTTGAACACTCTCCAGAATCCATTTTTTGAAAGAGAGTACTGGATCTAAGGCAGGTGGATTTTAGTTTTTGTTGCTGCATTTTGCATACATCTGTGGATTTATGAGGGACAAAATGTATGAGGAATCCACTCCTGGTGCTCCCAGTTCTAGACTAGGTGATGCTGACTTGTACTTCAAGACTTCTCTGCGTTCCCATGAATCCCTTAGCCAGGGAGCAGGCTATGATAGCAATTCTGCCATTAACAGCAGCAGCAATAATAGTACTATCGATTATGTAATAGCATCATATTTTTGAGTCCTTGAAAAGCGCCAGGAGCTGTTTTATAACCGTTACCTGATTTAATTCTTGCAACAACTTGATGAAGTAGGAACTGTCACTAGTCTCATTTTTCCTACGTGGAAACCTGTAATAATCCCAGTCATCATTCCAGCAGCACAGGCAGTTGGCTTTTTCTGGTACATTTTCCTACTCGATCCGTATAACAGCCCCTAGTAGCCGCAGAGCTGGGTTTGTCCTGTTCTTCAGATGATGAAGTTCAGGTCCTTGAAGGTTCAGTGATTTGCCCAAAATGTCAGAACCGTGGTCTTCAATCGCTCCCATGGTAACCATGGTAGTCATGGTGGCTTCTGCCCCAGGTCACGGGTGAGAGCCAGCGTCGATACTTGAAGGAGCTCCACGCCATGTACTGAGTTGGCTCAGGCTGCCTCAAAAGCAGCGGCCCTTGGTCTCTCCTGTGCTGATTGGTGATGGGGCATGCCTCTGATTAGTGAGACATGGGAGGCATTAATTATTACCCAGTGAAAACTGTCTGGCAGACACAGCCTTTTCCACAGGGACTCCTGAGGGAGAAATTCTTAAAGGGGCCTCGGGAACTAGCGTGCTCTGCCGGACTGGGCTTCAGGGGTTTTGTGGAAGCCCATGGATAGGGTTCTCCCTACAGCAGTTTTGAAAAGATCCTGCGTCAAAACGGAGCATGGATGGCAGAGAGGAGGGGTTCTTGCTACCCTGCCTGTGCCAGGGTTGCTTCTTGAAGGCAGAACCCTGTTCTCCGGCTCTGAGACTGGCACCCATCCCCGCACTGGGCACTGAGTAGGCACTTGGTATGTACTGAAGCAGCAGTGTGTAAGGGACTGGGGAGTTCAGTAGGTGTTCCAGGTCTTTTTATTTTTTTATTTTTTAAATATATTTTATTGATTTTTTACAGAGAGGAAGGGAGAGGGATAGAGAGCTAGAAACATTGATGAGAGACAAACATCAACCAGCTGCCTCCTGCACATCCCCTGCCAGGGATGTGCCCACAACCAATGCACATGCCCTTGACCGGAATCGAACCTGTGACCTTTCAGTCCAGAGACCGACGCTCTATCCACTGAGCCAAACCGGTTTCGGCAGTATTCCAGGTCTTGGAAAACTTACTGGAGAGGAGATCAGGATGGGGGATAAGGGGGGAGACCGGGCAGGTAAAAGAAGCCAAGCAGCCAGGAACGGCTGCTGCCTGGAGCCCAGGCTTCATGTAGGTAGCTTCTTGCTGTCATGAACAACACACAGAGCAGGGACCTGGCCTCTGGCTTCTTCACCTCACGACCTCGTGCTCTGTATCCGGGGTGTCTGTTGGCCGCTGGTCCTGGCCGCCCTCACTCCCTGGTGGCCAGGTCTTGGTCCCCTCCTCTCTGACTTGGCTTCATGTTCCTTAGTTTCAGCGTTGGAGCCTGCCGGGTCCCCATTGTAGGTGTTTGTCCCCCGTGGGTGCACATCCCCAAATGAGGGCGGTGGGGCT